GGGTCAGACAGCCGGGTGAATCACTCCGTACCCTGGCACATGACATTGAGAGCTTGGGCAGGCGTGCATATGCCAGTTTGCCAGGTGGGACTCAGAGTGAGCTAATCTGTGACCAGTTCTTCCATGCCCTGACTCCTGTTGACCTACGCCTGCATGTGCAGCTCGCGCATCCTGTGACTCTGGGAGGGGCACTGGCATTAGCCTTGGAGAGAGAGGTTGCCACTGGTGACGCGGGACAATCCACATCCCAGGGGGCATTGGCTTCTGTTGCTGTGGTGACGCAGGAGGCGAAACCAGCATGGGCGGAGGAGCTGGTGCAGGCGATAAGAAATCTGTCAGTGGGTCCCAGGGAGCGTGATACACGGCGCGAGCCTCCAGCCTCCTGCTGGGGTTGTGGTCAGGCGGGCCACATCCTGCGTCGCTGTCCGAAGGCTAAGGAGCAGCAGGGAAACGAGAGAGGGCCCGTGTAACCCGGGTATCACAGCCCCCATCTGCCACTCACTGGGAGCCGCATTTCCTGAGGGAGGAGCACCGTGTTGCCGCCCTGCACGCCGATACTGTGGAGACTGTAGGCTGGACAGAGCTGGGTTATCGTTGCCATGTTCCGGTGCTGGGCAGGAGTGTTTCATGCCCCCGTTTTGGAGCCGACCTCAGTGACATTGCGGACAGTGACTGGACAGACGGCTGCAATGAGAGGTAGAGGGACTTTTGTTTTCACTGTTGGTGGTTTATCTGTGACTTTTCCTGCCTGGGTGGCTGATGTGACAGATCCGTGCGTCCTGGGGCTGGACTTTATGAGGTTTATAGGGTGTGTTCTGGACCTGGGGTCAGGTAGTCTCGCTCTCCCAGGGGGGCAAGTTATCCAATTAATTCCACCCTGCAGCCAACAGTGTTTTCCGGCGGTAGCCTCCTGCACAGCTGCACTCTCGGAAATCGATAGCACTCAGGCTGAGACAGCCCAGCCCAGCCCAGCCCCCTCCTCAAGTGACCCGATACCATCCCAACATCAGCTGGAGGACGTGCGGGGGGACCAGATGGAGGCTATCCGGGATATCTGGGAAAAGAACTGTGATGGGCTGAGTGCTCAGCAGTGGGCAGAATTGTGGCAGGTCCTGTGGGAATTTCAGGACATATTTGCCCTCAATGATAATGAGGTTGGCCTCACGCATCTAGTTGAGCATCACATCGATACCGGGGAGGTGAGGCCCATCAAAGTTCGCCCCCACCGGCTGCCCATGGTGAGGCAGGAAGCTGCGGATAGGGAGGTCTGCGCTATGCTGGAAGCAGGAATAATTGTACCATCAGACAACCCTTGGTCATGAGCAGTGGTCATGGTGCCAAGGAAGAAAAGTTCCAGATGGAGGTTCTGTGTGGATTACAGGCCCTTAAACAAAGTGACGACAAAGGACTGTTACCCCCTCCCCAGAGTCGATGAGACGCTGGATTTGGTGTCAGGCTGGTCATCATGGTTCTCGTCACTTGATCTGCGCAGCGGCTACTGGCAGGTCCCCCTTGACCCGGAGTTGAGACCAAAAACTGCATTCAGTACCAGCAGGGGGCACTGGCAATTTAAAGTTTTGAGTTTTGGTCTGTGCAATGCCCCAGGGACATTTGAAAGACTGATGGACTGTGTTCTGGCCAATGTCCTGCGCCAGGAGTGTCTAGTGTATCTGGATGATGTCCTTGTCCATGGGGGATCCTTTCAGGCTGCATTGCACTAGCTGCGACTGGTGCTGGGAAGGATTAAAGCCGCAGGACTAAAGCTGCACCCAGACAAGTGTCATTTTATGCAGCGAGCGGTAGAGTTCCTGGGTTACAAGGTGAACGGGGAGGGCATCAGCACACTCCAAGAGAAAATCCTGGCTATCAGAGACTGGCTGGTCCCAGGTAACCAGAAACAACTCAAAAGCTTTTTGGGACTGGCCTCTTATTACAGGAGGTTTGTCAAGGGGTTTTCCTGCATTGGTGCACCCCTTTTCCGTCTCCTACAGAACAAACAGCCTTTCCTGTGGGCACCAGATTGCCAAAACGCATTTGTCACCCTGAAGCAGGCACTTATAAGTGCCCTCGTTCTCAACCCCCCAGATCCCGCATTACCATTCACGCTGGACACAGACGCCAGTGATGTGGGCATGGGTGCAGTGCTGGCACAAGTGGGCCCGGGGGGTGAGCGTGTGGTGGCTTATTTCAGTCGTGTCTTTAACAGGAGTGAAAGGCGCTACTGTGTGACAAGGCGTGAACTCTTGGCTGTTGTGTTGGCTGTCCGGCACTTCAAATACTACTTGTGCGGCGTACCTTTCACCATCAGGACTGACCATTCTGCACTACAGTGGTTGATGTCATTTAGGGAACCCGAAGGTCAGGTGGCACGGTGGTTGGAGGAGCTGCAGTCTTTCCACTTCAATGTTGTGCATCGCCCTGGGGCCCAACATGCTAATGCGGATGCCCTGTCCCGGCGTCCCTGTGCAGCTGCCGGCTGTACCTACTGTGATCGGAGGGACGCCAAGGAGGAGGAGCTCAGGGGGGAGTCAACTGTCGCTGGGCCTTCGTGCTGCTCGCTAGATGTGGTGGGTGCTGCGGACTGGGCATCACAGCAGGAGAAGGATAAGGACTTCAATCCTGTGCGGCTGTGGGTGCAGGGTGGGGTGAAACCACCCTGGGAGGAAGTGGCGGGACTGTCCATGGCCACAAAGGGTTTATGGAGTAAGTTCAGCATGCTGCGCATGGTGGACGGGGTTCTGCAGCGGGCTTGGAAGGAGCCTGCCATGGGGGAGGAGAGGTGGCAAGTTGTGGTGCCTAAAGCACTAAGAGAAGCCGTGCTGAGGGCATGCCACGGGGGTGCAGGTGTAGGCCACTTTGGGAGCTCTACGCCCCTCCGTCGCCTGCGGCAGGGATTTTACTGGGGCCAGCATCGCCGTGACGTGGATGATTTCTGCCGGCGTTGTGACGAGCATATAAAGGACCTCTCGACCAGTCGCACGCGCCCCTGCAACAACAAGCTGTTGGAGCACCCATGGAGAGAGTAGCGGTGGACATTATGGGACCCTTCCCGGTGACAGATCGAGGGAATAAATATGTGTTGTGTGCAATGGACTATTTCACGAAATGGCCAGAAGCTTATGCTCTGCCAGATCAAGAGGCAGAAACAGTGGCAGATGCTTTGCTGGAGGGCATGTTCAGCCGTTTTGGAACACCGGACGTCCTCCACAGTGACCAGGGCAGGAACTTTGAGTCCAGAGTGTTTGCGGCCCTGTGTCAGCGGTTAAATGTGCAGAAAACACGCACCACACCTTTGCATCCGCAGAGTGATGGTTTAGTGGAACGTTTTAACCGCACCATGCAGCAGCAGTTGGCTATCCTCACCGCTGCTCACCAAAGTGATTGGGATAAGCACATTCCCCTTGTCTTAATGGCCTATCGTTCAGCTGTTCAGAGCTCCACAAACTGTACCCCTGCTCTACTGATGCTGGCCAGAGAGATCTGTACCCCGGCGGAACTGGCAATCGGTTGGCCACCAAACAATGGAGAGGATTTACCTGGGCCAGAGTATGCCAGGAAATTACAGGACCGTCTGGAGACAGCCCATGCTTTCGCTAGAGATCAACTGGAGAAGGCTGGTATGCGACAAAAATGGAACTATGATGTGAGGAATAAAGGCAGAGACTTCCAACCAGATGAGCTAGTTTGGGTCTATGCACCCAAACGGAAAAAAGGACGTTGCCCGAAACTGGACAGCCATTGGGATGGGCCGTGCCGGGTGCTAGAGCGGGTGGGGGGAGGTGGTATACAGGGTCCAAGTCAGAATTCTGAGAATAAACTCAGAATTCTGAGAATAAAGTCAGAATTCTGACTTTAAACTGAGAATTCTGACTTTAATCTCAGAATTCTGAGATTAAAGTCAGAATTAAAAAAAAAAAAAGCAGTGGCCCTAATACTCTTCCGTACAGCACATTTCCAATCAGACAAGATGTGATGTGAAAAATTTAACATAGCACATACAAAAAACACTTACTTGGTAGATAGACTGGCAACCTGTCCAGGGTGGACCCCGCCTCTCGCTCAGTGTTAGCAGTGGATAGGTAACGGATGGATGGATTTAACTTATTTTCATTGGTTGTTAAATAATCATATTGAAAATAGGACTATGAAAAGTTATGCTTGCATCACATCACACCCCTTCGTTGCTGCCCTTGTTTCCTGGCTCTCTCTAAACTGTCAACTGTCAAATACTGTAAATGCAAAAAAACCCAGTAGTACAGAAAGACAGGAGTTTGTGTGAACATGAATTATTGGTCTTTCTCCTCAGATCTCTAAGACTATAAATATGCTGATTCGTTGGTATGTGGATGGTCCCTCTTCTCCAGCCTTTCAGGAGCACGTGTCCAGGATCCCGGACTACCTCTGGTCAGTCAGTCAGTCTCCAACAACTTGTCAACAAAACAAATGCCAAAGCAGTCATTGGTCAGTTAGGTGTTCAGGAACAACTCTTGTGAAGCAGTTGTACTGAATATTGCACTACACTGGACATTTGTATTATAATGTGGATATTGGTGGTGATAGCTCTTTAACCAAAGATGCACAAAAAGTTTAGAACGGATAAACTATGTTCTCTGTGTTCCAGGTTGGGATTGGATGGCATGAAAATGCAGGTGAGAACTGGCTTTCTTCTGCTTTGTACAGTGTTGATTCAGAGTGTCCACACATTCAGATGTAACTGTAGTTTGAAGCTTATGACTTCAAGTTTCGAAGTCATAAGGGTGTCTTACACTAAAGACATGTTTTCAGAAACAGTTGAGGAGCTCAAAGTGGAAATGCTTTTTTCATACTGAAAGAAGCCAGTTAAAGTGCAAAGAAGTGGTGAAAAATGGAAGGAGGTCTTTAAAAATACTTTAAAACAAATTATTTTAGCACTGCAAAAAACATGAGAGCTCTCACTGAATTCAAATGAAACTTAATCCTTATGTTTCACTCCACATTTGACTAGTTTGTCCTTTTTGTTCCACACAGGGGACCAATGGATCTCAACTCTGGGATACTAGCTTTGCTGTACAGGCTTTTCTTGAGGTATTGCAAACCTGGGGACTCGTACTTTTGTTATGGTTAATGCAAGCAGGCATCACAAAAAATAAAATAAAAATAAGAACAGGTTTCATCATCAAATTCGACTCTGGCTGTGATGTATTCAACCAGTGATTTAACAGGGCTTACATCTCCATGGGACAAGAAATGATATAACTGTGTGTCATCAGAGTAACTACAGTAACATTTTGTTTTTGAACCATGTGGTTTAGAAGTTGCACATGCCAGCTGCCTGAACAGCAGTGAACCCAGTATTGACCCCTGAGGTGCTCTACATATTCCCAGCAGACACCAAAAATTGTCATTCCTTCACCTGGGCTGTGGAACAGACAAGTTCTACAAAAATACAGTAAAGTATAATAAGTTGTTTGTTGGGTTCTTTCAGGCAGGAGCCCAGAATAACCCCAGACTGGCCAAGTGCCTCCAAGATGCCCATCAGTTTCTCAGAATCACGCAGGTACCCACCTATGACAACTATACTACCCCCCAAAACTCATCCAGCACCTTACAGACATTCCACATGTTTAATTATGAAAACATTCATAACGTGTTCTAGAAACAAACTTTTCATAAATGAGCAGGAATAAAGCATCTCCTAATATTCTGTAAGTTTAAAGTTGCTTATTTCTCACTACCAAAGCCCTTCAGGTGTGTCAGACCAGTGTAATATATCCACAGTTATTATTCACTGTATTCAGTGACCATTTATGGCTGACTAGGTTTTCCACTCTAACAGATAGCCGAGAATCCTCCTGAATACCAGAAGTACTACAGACAGATGAACAAGGTAAAACAAATATCATAGAAGAGCATCTTTCCAGTACTTAATAAAAAACTCAAATGCATTTGGTAATTGTAGGGAGGTAAAAATGACTCATGAAAAAGTAATGTACATGCTGTGTACTGTATGTCTGGGGTTTTTTTATTTTGTTTTTTTGAGGGAGGCTTCCCCTTCAGTACCCGAGACTGTGGCTGGATCGTGTCTGACTGCACAGCAGAAGGCCTGAAATCAGTGATGCTGTTGCAGGAGCTTTGCCCTTCCATCAGCCAGCATGTCACCTCTGAGAAGCTGTACGATGCTGTCGACGTGGTGAGTAAACAGATGGCAAATCAACAGAAGACTGGTTTACCTTTTTAGAAGTTTAATATACCAGTGTGCCCCGAGTCTCTTTTGGTATGCTAAGCTGAGAAATACTGCTTACCACTGTCATCTTTCTGCATTTCACCTTCAGCCCTAGATCCTCCATTCTGATGACACTGAGGTTTAAAGAAATCTTTCAACATTAATGTTATGCCCTTTCTTTCCAAACGTTTGGTGAGACAATAGATACATCTCATGCATACAGTAAGCATGTAATTTAAGTTCACTGAACACAGACAAATGGCTAAGCTGCTGCTGTGGAAATGTAACACAATTCATCTACTGGCTCCTCTCAAGCTCATTAATTTCTTATACCCTATATCTTTACACAGTCTGTACCAAACCAGACTACAGTCCAAACTGAAGAAAACAAGGCCCCTTTATACACTTGTGCTACTGAAAAGTTGGTACTGAAGTCCTGCAGCTTTTTCATCATGTCCATCGTTTCCCTCTAGCTTCTGAGCTTGAGAAACTCAGATGGTGGATTTGCTTCATATGAAACTAAGAGAGGTGGGAGACTCCTGGAGCTACTCAACCCCACTGAGGTGTTTGGTGAGTGTGTTGTCAGCATCATAAAAAAGGCCATTTCATGCACAACACTACCAGTCGCTGTGTCCAGTCTTAAAACATTACTTTCAACCTATGTCACACAAAGTAATGAAGATATGGAGACATAAAATGTCATGTTGAGTTCTTGCTCTTACAAACAGTTTTAATTTCAAAGTTAATAAGATCAGTGGTGCTCACACGAAAGACAGTGTGACGTAATGTGGAGATAAAGAAACAGGAACCAAACACAACATTTCAGCCTTTGTTCTGCGTTTAGGAACTTGAACACTTTAGTGCACTTTGCAATATTATGGCCTATTCAATATCAATGAAACCAATAAACTGTTATTTCTCCTGTTAAACAAAAGATGTGTTGTGAAATGTGCTGTTGATTAGTAACACTGTGTTCTCTTTCTCTCTCTCACACACACACACACACACAAACAGGTGACATCATGATAGATTACACCTATGTGTGTGTGTGTGTTGTGAAATGTGCTGTTGATTAGTAACACTGTGTTCTCTTTCTCTCTCACACACACACACACAAACAGGTGACATCATGATAGATTACACCTATGTGTGTGTGTGTGTTGTGAAATGTGCTGTTGATTAGTAACACTGTGTTCTCTTTCTCTCTCTCTCACACACACACACACACACACACACACACACACACACACAGGAGACCTCATGATAGATCACACCTA